ATTACGATAACATACTTGACTTCCATTATATATTGAGCAACAAACTTTTTTCTTCCTTGACTAAGAAACACACACACTTTTAAAGAAGAATATATGTCCAGAAGAAGATTTCTTACCAATTGATTGTCTTATAATTTTTAGTTTTTTATTTTTTAATTTTACCCAATCATCCTTTTTACTATTGCTAATAAGCCATTTTGTGATTACCTTCGCAAGATAAACTATGTAACTCAAGTTAGCTTTTGTGTATGACATGCCGTATATTATGTACCCTACATGACATTGTTTCTATCTTAGCTTTGTTGCTATCACTTGAGGGACTCATTTTTTTTGATAATTTCAAAGTATATTTTTTATCCTTCTTTGATAATTTCAAATTATATTTTTTATCCGTCTTTGATAATTTCAAATTATATTTTTTATCCTTTGAATATACCTAAGTATCCTTTTTCACAATATGCCTATTAGCCATTTTGTGATTACTTTTCAAAGATCAATTACATAACTCAAACCACACAGCTTTGCCCAAGAAAATCTCAAGTTTATGTTATCCACCCAGACTGGCGGTGAGGCAGATAGAGCATGAGAGCTACGATGATTTCTTCATTGATTGCCAAAAAAATACAAGGTTTATTACGTTGATCTTTTTATAGAATGATAGAGCACTCAAATACTAACCAAATGGCACAAATCTCAATCAACAAACTCCAAAGAGATGGAGATTTCATTTACTTGAATCATTGTTATCTAGATGCAGCAGTTTGCTATAACCAAGAAATTAATTTCTCAAATCGCTATTAAAAACCAAGTTTATAAGCCTTGATTCTTTTGTAGAATTATAGAACATATCATGACGTTTAAAAAAATCCTCAAGGATAGAGACTAATCTCAATGCGAAATTACATCGGATGTCAAGTGAATGAATAGTGCTCGTGTATCAGTGATGGGCAATCAGGCATGAATAATGTTTTCAAGCTAGATTAATCTTCAAACACTTCTGGCTTTACTGTCAGTGTACTCCAAAAATATATCAAATGATATCTATATTCGATGAAATTTAGATAGTAAGCTCATAATGGCTTAGATTAAAATCCTACAGTTTTTCACTCACTTTGAGGATCTTTGCTGGAT